AGATGTACGGATGCCATGATAATATAGATGTTGTATTTTCCGGAAGATAGCTATATATTGATCTGGGGATACAGCTGTATGTTTACCAGTGGGATAGAGCAGTAAGGGATGACAGAGATCTAAAGTTGGCAATAGAAATATGGAGGTAATGATGCCAGGAGGATAGGTGTGTAAAGTATCAGGCGGCAAACATAAATGAAATGAAATGGGGTTTAACGTCCTACTGTTCTGCTCCGATTGGGCTAATGAAGACGGCGGGGAGGGGGGGGGGGGCAAACATGTCGTAGGTGGGGCAAACAATGTCATGAGATATTATATTGTTGACAGGATAGAGATGTCAGGATTTCAGGGGAGTAGCTTAAAGATTAGAGCTATCAGAAGGGTGGAGGTACAACAATATCGAAAGGATGGAGGGGTGAGAATATCTGGAGCATAGAGCTGTATGGTTATCAGGAGGATAGACTGTATACGTTTGTTAGAGTTATACCTTTGTCAGGAAGATGACGGTGTAAAGATGTCAGGGGCAGAGAGATGGAAGATGGATGTAAAAGGAGTGGATATGTTAGGGGGATTGAAATAAGTTTGTCCGGAGACTAGATAAAGGTGTTTAATAAAGGTGAATGATTATAGATAGAGGTGCAATGTTGCCAGAAAATTAGACAAATCAGGATGTACGCAGTAATGGTGTAGGTTTTCGGGAAGCTAAATGTATAATACTGTCAAGGGTATCGGTGTAAGGTTCCCAGGAGGTTGCGAAGGGAATTAAGATAAAGTCGTACATAGAAAGGTCGGTATAAGGCTCTCAGGAGGGTAGAGATAAAAGGCTGTCAAGGCGATTGAGATAAGGTTAGAAATGTAAAGTTGTTAAGAGGATAGAGAATACGGATAAAGATTTATGTACAAAAAGAGGGCAAGAAGAGCAGACAGGTGAAAACAGAGAGATACTGACAAATAAAGATGTCAGAGAAATCCGATGTTAGAAAACGAAGTATAGAAGGCGGGACGAATATGGAATGGCGACAGTTAATAGAAAAGAGTTGGTGATAACGTTGCTGCTTGAATATAAGGCTGACGAATGTTGTAGAACAGCAAGGATACAGCCTATGTCCGCCATTAATATATGGAAATGAAACGCAATGAATTAACATCCTAAGTTTCTGTACCAGCCGAGTTCACGAAGACGTACGTACGCCATGCAGAGTGCTATGAGGGACAATTTGCCCTGACTTCCAAAATGTCATGTTTGTTTAACGTGTACGCCAATGTGTACACGGGACCTCGGTTTTAAGTCCCATCCGAAAGCCTAGATACTGATCTTTTACAGAATCTCGACCCTAAACCACTAATTTTTAGAATATTGTCGACTAACACCATCGGTCACCAGCTGCAGTGATTACTCAAATTATACGTTATGTAGATATAATATCTATTACCAACATTGCGTCGACAGAAAAATATTGTCAAGATGACAAGAAACGGTCATATAGTCTAAAGAAACAAGAGAACAAATATAAATCGTCTGGAAGATATTACTAAAATAAAATCATAAATCGTAATAAATATGAATATGTGCGTAGAGACATCAATTCTGCTGATTCAACGTAAATGATCATCGCTAACACATTTGATAAATTCTGCAAGCATTTATAATTGAACTAATTACAGTCAGCTGTTTTAACACTATTCGCTGTAAACTGTTAAATATTTCTTGGTTAAAATAATACTTCGTACATGATGATTCAATTAGTTTTAGATATCCCGCTATCAACACAGTACGCCCAATACTCGTCGTCTAGCATACATACATACATACTCTCGTCTCATCTGGTCTCACAGACCCATCTTAATGAATTCTAATCACTTCGATAATATCTAAACATCTACGAGATCAAAGGCTAATTACGGTCATATTAGTTAGTGTAACCATCATCCAGATAGACAGGTATTTCCACCAGTGATGCTATCAGTATATATACCGACTGGCAGAGTGCAGACTATGAGATATACATACAGCTTACAAAGTCTTGCAAGAACAACTTTTGTCTAATTTTGTACAGACAGATTTTACATGGACATCATAATAATTTATGGATGTTTTCGTCTTGCAAACAGTTTTAATATCGGAGCAACGATGACTGAATGAGTGAGTATGGTGCTGACTCACTCACGGAGAGCTCCCGGAATCGATTCCCGTTTTCGCCGCGAAATATCCTCGGATCTTGTTTTCCCTAAATCAAGGTTGCAGGATGAAGTAGCTGGGACCAATATGGAGGTCGTATGTGAACAGTGGAGTGCACTTAAAAAAAACCTTTGGAATATCCCGCACAGTAAACTGTATGTTTCTCTTAATTTATATTTTAAAATACTGTGGAGGACGTGATTTGTATAAGAATCAGTTTGTTAAATGATACAGTTTCGTAGTGAGTAAGTTGCTGCCTGGTAAAATTATCTATACACAATAAAAATACACAATTCATGAAGACATATTATACCATTTACATAAATATATAGCTTTGTTTTAGTTAATGTGATTTTGAATTTAGATTTAACTATAGTTTTAGTCTTTAATTACTTACGGTGATTTAGGGAGTAAAGCCCTTAGCCACTTAAAAGGAGGTCCGCTGTTCTCGTAATTTCCCAGTGTGGGTTTCCCTTGTGAGCGGTGTAAGACGAGAGGGGCGGGGGCAGGAAATGAAATGGGTTGAACGTCCTAGGTGTCTGCAGCGACTCTGCTAATGACTATGTAAGGACAAACAGTCCAGGTCCCGTGAACGTAAAATAACCCCTTTGACAGTTGGAGTTGCAAATAATTGTAGGTCATAGAATCACGACCAGGGCAAAATTTCCCCCATAGCCCACTGTTTGGCGTATATCCGTCTTTATTAGCCCTGGGGGCTGGGGGGTGGGGGGCAAAAGGTTAGCACATGCGCGCTGTATCATTGTATTTATTGAAATAAAATTGAACCATACGAATCAGACGAGTTAATATTTCCATAGGTGAACTCATTTAAGTGAGGTGAGAGATGGTATGACCTGGGTAAATAGAGCAATATGTTAATGATTTTAGCAACATCTTTACCTGATAATAAATCACATAGTTTATGATATGAAGTGATATACGGTCTGATTTTTCCATATTGTGGTAAGAAACGGTGGCCTTTGAATATGAATTATTGAAGTTTGTGCTCTAATGTTCACCAATAAAGTACTCACAGAATTATTTTCTATAAACGATCCTTTCACATGAAAAATTATAAGTGGCGCTGGAATTTTCCGCTCGTTCTGGTTAAAATTTATGAATATCACTATATATAAGAAGAGTTTTCAGTAGCTTATCTCAATTCCATCCCTGCGTGGGCCCAAAAGAATCTTCGGGATTGGCGCGTGTAGGCTCACAAGGAAAGTTTGTTTAGTCGTTCAGATGGGACGGAAACGGGGGTCTAACGGTGAACATAAAGGTGTGTACCTAAAAGAATCTTTGGCACATTAATAAATATAACCAGATTTACCTTATGTATGTGGAGAGAGAGAGAGAGAGAGAGGGGGGAGAGGGAGAGAGAGAGATGGGGGTAACGTCCACTCGACACAAGCAAGGTCACTCCGGGACTAACATTTGGACACGGGCAAAACCCACGAGGTTGGACAGGCGACTCTACTCCTGGTCACGTACAAGCGGGGAATCGAAACCCCGCCAGTTGAATCAATGTCAGACCTTATGATAAAGCCCGCACGTGCTAACCAGTCGGCCACCCAGCCCCTGCCCTCCCATGTGGACATAGAATTAACTATTAAAATATATCTTTGTCGCAAAATGACCGAAAAATATTTGTGGTAAAGGCTCGCAAATAAAACAAAATAAATAAGCAACATAGCGAAACGTGTTCTCCAAACTGTTCATATTCATGGAACACTAAAATATACTGGGCGTAATGTAGAGTCCGAAAGGTACAGGCATTCTTCCTTTCCACTTAACCTTATTCCTATCCGCTTAATGTCAAACTCGAAAAAATAAACCCAAAACACCCACTACAATACATATTACTTCATTTTGTTAATGAATGACCTTCCGAAATACGCCATACTAATAAAATAATCTGTTACATTCATTAAAGGTCAAAACTGACATCATTTTTAAAAGTTGCATTATAAAATAATACAAATATAACTCCTTGAAACCCGAACAACATCTAAAGCTTAAAAAAGGAAACCATTAAAGAATAACATACACACTGGCTGTTATTTCATTCACCACAATTGAAAAGTTATGTTGACTTGACCAACTACAAGAATATTAATGGAATATTTAGACGTCTGTACCAGACAAGTTATCATACTAGCTAGTGATAAAACGACGGATTTCATTACTCTTTCATTAATAAAACGACGATCAAGGGGTCAATATCACACCCGAATCGCACCCACTGATAAAAACGAAGCTGTGTATATATACATATATTATATGTTTAAAAAGTACAAATATGTGAATTGAAAGATATCAGATTTGCGACAGTAATAAATCAACCAATCAAAGAAGGGTGTAAGGAGAAATCAACTGGAAACGTCATTAATTCTGTATTTGCTCCACGTGGCGCAGTAAATGACAAGTACCGTTTTTATTTATAGCTTATATTGGCTAGAAAAACAAACACTTCTTTCACACCGATGTTTTTATTTGTTTCGCTCACAGTGCAGAATTACTCTTAGACGTATTTTCACATAGGAAAAAACATACTAACAATTTATGGAATGCATCAATAAAAAACCAAATAACACCGCTATCTTCTCTTTTAATTAAGAAAGGATTGTTGCACAAAATAAATAAACGAAAAATATAAACATTGTTTTGATGTTTTAAGGGGCCAAAACATAAGAGAAGCAGTTCGGCTATGAAATGAACAAAAAGCAAATTGCATGCCATAGAGAATTATTTGATAAAAAGAGCAAATATATTATTTATTTTATTATTTAATATGATAAAAGATAATGTTAAATCTACTTACTGGTCTTCCGTCGTTGCCTGGTGACCCTGGAGTGCCTGGAGTGCCACGTTCACCGGTTTCACCCTTCCAATAAACATATTGTAATTGATAGCCATATTGAGCACAAGTATCACAGAAACAGCATATTATAAGGAATGAGTGTAATAATAGGTAAGAGACCATGTTTATCCTGCCTGAATCATTCTGTTATTCATGATCCAACACGCGAATCTTACCGCCAATTCTTTTTCTCAATGAAGCGAGGCTGGGAAAAACGTTAGTTTTACACACAGACTTTCAAACCGCACGCGATATACACCAATTCAATTATGAGAGGCGATATAATGTTGTCTACATTACATAAAGTGTAGTGTACACACTGATGCGTCTTTTCGACTCGATGCTGAGACTAAGCCACGTGTTAAAGCAACCGAGTCTGGCGATTTTTTCCAGTTGATCTGACAACACTCATGACAAGAACTACCATCGATATGGCAGTTATTTCAAGGTTTTGATATTCTCTACAGATGCCTAGATATCTATATACACTTAACCATATGTCCACTTCAATCACAACCTTTATACTACTGCACCATATTCCCCAATATACACAAGTATATATTCTACTGCACACTTACATACACAATATCAAATATCTAGTTAACGAACTTAAATTACATGATTGACAATTCCATGTTCAGCTGAGCTCTTAACGCTGAGAAGTGGACTGGGTTGATTTATCTACCGGTTTAAAAGAAAAATTTCCCCGGCTTTTCAAAGCGAATAATCATAGACATGCCTACTATACACAATTTCTAAGGAATTAGTTTTAAAAAAATAATCTTTTGTTTTTTCACCGATGGCTATATATTCTAGCTATGTAAGGGATATTTAGATTGTAACTTGGTGCTTAAAGGCCAACAGATACAGTTAGTTCGATTCACAGCATGACGTATATAGCAATGCAATTTTTCATTTATGACTTGTTCTTGCAGTGGTTGGTTATATTGAAATATTGACTGAAGCATCTGGATGAAGTATCGCAGCTCGGTCACTATTATTCGCGAAATTAATTTGACCTCCGCCCCCCCCCACCGAAAAAAACAACAAAAAAACCCTAACCATGATCGTAGCTCGGTCACTAATAAAATATTCGCGAAATTAATTTAACATCCGCCCCCCCCCCCTCTCCGATCTAACCATGAAATGTGCTAGTCGAAAAATGCATTTATATCTCTTATAATTTTGTAATCGTGATAACAGAATTTGTTCGATCATAGACAAACATGGTCCCTTTAACATGCTAAACGAAATTACAGAACATATTATATGTACCACATTACATAATACTTAATATTATTTTAATCGAGAAGACACAAGCTTGGAACAGTTTTAAATGAGCTGCATTTGACAACCTTGCCTCAAGAATCTGAACCGTCTGTTAGTGCTCTGCAATTTGAAATATTTATATGAATGGGAAATAGTTTTATTTCTATTTTAAGTGGCACTATTTCAAATAATCATTTTGTCATTTAAGAGGATGTTGGCACCAACGACACAAAATCCTTGCGACTTCCACATTTTTTTTTATAATTACTTACTTGCACTATACTTCAAACGAAGAATTTGAACATTTTTCGATTTTTCTATAGAATAAATTTTGACTTAAAAAAAGAAAAGATTTTCAAGATGTTCATACCTTAACACCATTTGTTCCTGGTAAGCCCGGGGGTCCAGCTAACCCTTGAATACCCTAAAATTTAAAAAAAGATAACACAATAAGCTGAGTTTACGTAGCAATATTACTATCAATATCCAGTCTTTGTACCGAGGCAAACATATCGTATGGTCATTTAAAAACTTACAGAATCTTACAAACTTCCACATTTCTTAAATCAAACGTTTAAAACCCCTAATTCTTAAATTGATTGGCTATCAAAATACCGACTGTTTCCAATAAAAATGTTAACTGTTAGATATCAAACCTGCGGTTGCCAGGCAAGATACGTCCACACTTTGCAAGAGATGAATAGAGAACAAGTTAACAAAAAAAGGGGATTTTTCGTACAATCAGGGGCCATAATTCAAGAAGTTATGGTCTGAAATGCGCGAATATCGAAAGGGACTGAAATATTTGGCATATAAAGATATATATTAAGTTTCATCAAAATCGGATAAAAATTGTGACTTCTAGAGGGTCCACAACCTTGTTATTACATACTTTTACACTATTTGCGTACACGGAGCGGCCATTTTGTCCGGCAGTTTGGTTAATGTTTACGAAATTCGAACTCAACCTCCATTGATGTGTAACGGTGATATATTTAAATGTTTTTAAAATTGAATACAAATTGTGAATTCTAGCGGGACCACAAGCTAATTCAGGAAATTACGATCCGATATACGCGAATATGAAAGGAACCAAGATTTTTACGTTATAAGCATGTATTTCAAGTTTCATAAAAATTGGATCAAAATTGTGTCCTCTAGAGGGTCAACAACTTTGATATACCATATTTTTATGCTATTTGCGTACGAGGGGCGGCCATTTTGTCTGGCAGTTTTGGTCCGATTTTCACGAAATTCAAACTAAACCGACATTACGATGTAACAGTGATATATTCGAAAGTTTTTTTTGTTTTTTTTTTAAATCGGATAATAATTGTGACCCCTAGAAGAACCACAAGCTAAAAACGCAATTTTTTGTACACACAGGGGCCATAATTCAGGAAGTTACGATCCGATATTCGCAAATACTGACAGTTGTACTGAGTTATAAATATGTATTTCAAGTTTCATCAAAATCAGATGAAAATGGTGACCTCTAGAGTGTTCACAAGCTAAAAACGTGATTTTTCGTACAATCAGGGACTATAATCCATGATGTTATGGCCCGATACATGCCAATATCGAAAGGAACCGAGACCTTTGGGAGATAGACCTATATTTCAAGTTTCGTCAAAATCAGATAAAAAATGTGACCTGTAGAGTGTCCACAAACACATTGTGGACGGACGTCCGGACGGACGAACAGGGGCGACGGCCACATAAAAATGTGGTCGTATAAAAACCAATATGAATAATGAATACTTAGTATGTCAAAACCTGAATGTATTACACTCATACAGAAAACATACTAATGTTCCCTACTGTATTTCAACTTGACATAACGACTTAAACAGATATACCAGATTGAAAATAATAATATAATGTTCTATCATTGACCCGGAACCACTCAAATAGTTAATTCAGGGCTTTTACAAAATTTTCCACAATCTCTAGAATGGACCCCCAAAAATTTTCTTTGTAAAACCATTAATATAATATGCAAGATATTTTGTCAAAGAGCAAATGCGACCGAGATTTAGTTTCCACCCATTTCTAAATGGATCGTATGATGTAAATAAGTTCACAACAAAATACATAATAAACAATACGCACGTATCACGTTAGAAAAGACTCTCAGATCTATTGCTCATGTAAGAACACAAACAAGTAGGCCTTTATTGATGCTCACAATAAAGCACAAATTGATTTATTAGAGGTATAACTGATAAACATATGTAAAACACAAGGTCAAGACATTCTGAAACAGTCTGAAATTCTTGTGTATAAACATCCACATAAATTATCCAGATATGTTTGTGGCTCACGTTACACCTGTACAATGAGCTTAGGAGCATTGACATTTCCTTAAAATTAATATTGAGCCATAAATGATGTGGTAAACCAAAAATGTGTTGAGAAAGAATAAAATGATGTTTTTTTTTCTACTTACTGGCAAACCGTGATCTCCCCTTGGTCCAGCCTTTCCTGATTCTCCCGGTGGACCCTAAAGATACAAGCGGAAATGTTTAAAGCGAAACATCAACTTCTATTTAATTTTATAGGATTCAGTTATCATGAATTTGAAAATTCAATTTTCAGATATAGATTACATTAAAAGGGAAATGATATAAATAACATGCATACAAAGTATTGTTCTATGACCGCTTTAACCTATAATATAGTATCATTGTCATAAATTACAATTACGTTTAAGGACGCCGCAGGAAGAAACACTGGCTTGAACATGCTCCAAATAGCATAGAAGTTGGAAGTTTTTCATTCTTCTTTCGTCTGGAACATCCTCGCGAATGACTGATTGATGTGCGCCAGACACTGTCTAGCTACTCAAACTATCGTCTTCTTAAATATAAGATTTTACGTCCGCTTCCGCGCCTAAATATAACCCGGATTATCCAGGAAATATATTTCTTTTTCAAATAACAAAATATCTCCAGTTTATACAATTCGACAATGTCACTTTAAACTTACCGTTTCTCCGGGTAAACCAATTTCACCTGCAGACCCAGGGATACCCTGAAGTAAATATTCAACAGTAAATAATTCAATTAAAAATGTAATATTTTAAAAGACATCAATAATATTGATATGAATTACATAAAGGAAATCGAAAAAAAATATTACCGGTCTACCGGGAGCGCCATTATTTCCATTAGTTCCAGGGGTACCTGCTGTTCCCTAAAAGAGAAGGCCATTCAATTTCAATAACGTCATTAATATTCAATTTAAACAACGCCATTAATATCTAATTTAAATAACGTCATTAATATCTAATTTAAATAACGCCATTGATATTCAATTCAAATAACGTCATTAATATTTAATTTAAATAACGTCATTAATATTTTATTTTAATAACGTCATTAATATTTAATTTAAATAACTTCATTAATATTTAATTTAAATAACGTCATTAATATTCAATTTATCTTTTTAATCTACTTTATTTTACTTCCTTCTAAAATGGTATGTTCATCATTGAAAAAAGAATAAAATGGCAGATTATTTGATATTACTAGGCGTTGTTAATTTCTCCGTTGACATGTCAAGCACCTGTTTATTCTCCGATAATTAAAATATGGGGGTTTTATAATATAATATTGTTGAATTTGGAGGGGAAATATATCAGCAAGTGGTTGGCATCCCCATGGGCACCAACTGTGCACCTTTGCTTGCTGATCTGTTTCTCTATTCGTACGAAGCCGATTACATACAGACGCTCGTAAAAACTAATAAACGATCAGTCAGACTTTTTAATTTCACTTATCGATATATCGATGACGTTTTATCACTTAATAATCCTAAATTTAGTGATTATGTAGAATTCATATATCCTGATGAGCTCGAAATTAAAAACACCACTGACAGTGACAATTACGCTTCCTACTTGGATCTGCGTCTCGATTTTGACAATTGCCATGAACTGAGTGTTAAATTGTACGATAAACGTGATGACTTTGACTTTCCGATTGTTAACTTTCCATTTATTAGTAGTAACATTCCAATATCACCAGCTTATGGAGTGTTTGTATCTCAGCTAATTCGTTACGCGAGAGCTTGTTCCTTTTATTCTGATTTTTTAAGTAGATCGAGGCATTTGTCATCTAAGCTTCAACTACAAGGATACTTGCGCACTAAACTTATTAAAACCTTTAAAAAGTTTTATGGCCGTCATATTGATTTGATTGGTAAATATAACGTGTCTCTCTCGGCTATTATTCTAGATATATTTAATTGACACGTCTACTATTACTATCTCCCTGATAATGTCTACTACACCGTTA